AAAATAATAATGGTTAATAATGGTTAATAAAAAATGATTTTTTAGTAATAAATATTATTATTTTATGATTTTATTATTTGAATTTTTTTAAAATACATATATTTTTATAAATACACACCATCCGTAAATGCACACATATGTTCAGTCCCAAGGGGATACACTTAGAGAGAGTTGACTGTAGGTTTAACTTAGCACAGTTACTTAATCTTACTTTTATACTAAGTTTCTATTTTTCATTTTTCAAGTTTATACGCTTATTCATGGTTAGAAAATTTAAAAGAATCATAGGCAAAAGAGTTGATAACGAATTTCGTGAAACTTTTCATGTTAGTTTTTTGCATTTTGCACTATTTCAAAAGAAAAAAAAATAAGTGTATTTTACCACATTTTATATAGGGAACAAGGAACCGTAATTCCGTTCAGTTCCACAGGTAAAATGGTGACCCTATCTCACAGTCACTTAATATTAATAATAACGGTATGGGATGCGATTTGCCTATTATGGTCGTATCATGTAATGAATCAATTTCAGCTTCTCAGGAAGAAAGATTTGAAAATTTCCAAGCCCAAAAGGTATTTCTTCTCAAGAAACTGGCCGACAAGATAACAATGATGAAAATGGATATGGAAGGTCTCCCGATCACAATAAATATAACAATTTTAACAAAAAAATTACAAAAGAAGAAATATCAGAAATGACGAAGTCAGAGAATAAAGATAATAAAATGTATGTTTAGGGTATCTATTCGTACTGGAAAGATAGATAGGGAATTAGTAAAGCAGGAACAAAAAGAAATGAGCAAGATTATATTCTAAAACAATAAATTGGCGGCAAAATTGAGGACGAATACAATTAAAGTATTAAAAGATATTGTTTGGATGCTGTCCTAACAAAGAAAGAATCTGAATTATGCAGGTATTCCTGAGGGAATTGTGCCAAAACAGTGCCTTGGATAGCACTCTATGGATAGAAATTCTGAAGAAACTGTGTAAACTTATATTCCCAGACAATAATAATAGAGAATCAGAAGATCAAGCCTCCATGTCTCAAGTGCAAGTGGGTAGCGAGGATAATAAAATGCTGGGGCTTCGCAATGATCTGAGTAATTCATTAATGTTAGTTGAAATGATCACATGTGAATCTGATATTTGTCGTATTGCATCTTATATTGATCTTGAAATCAAAGCTAAAGCACCTTTAGAAGATCTTATCATTTATATAGAACATGTTAAATGGTATAGTTTTAATCATATCATTATCAATGGGGAACTTTATTGTGGAATGCTTTTTCTAGACTGTTACAGTTGTTTATTTGAATGGAACCATATGGAATATTTGTTATTGCTACTTGGGGATTACTTGAAAAAGAATTTTCAGCTCGATCCAGCTGTGGCATGGGGAACAGCAGATGGATTTGTATTTGAGATTAGGATCAGACAGGGTCGGTATTTGCATAAAATTTACTCATTTTTTTATCTTAAATTTTTATAACCGTTCCTTTTCTTTCAAATTCACCAGAAAAACACAATACCCATCTCCTTACAAAGAAAAATAAAAAAAATAAGAACTCGAAAAAGAAGTATCATTGTTGATGCAGGTTTCTTTGAGCAAAGTTAAATTTTTTATGTTTGCAATTGTGGATGTATTTGTTATTTGTACGCAATATTTGTATCTTAATTACATATCATCTTGTACTCAAAAATAAAATGCTTACGCACATTGAACTCGTGATTTTTTCTAACTTGTAATATGATATAACTATGCACTGAATAAATAAAACTATATTGTGACGGTTGTGATGATCGTTGCATTTATTTTCGCTGACACCGTTTCTCCAAGGAATTATTTGTCCAAGAAATTTTTCCCAACTCTGGTGCGAAGTAAAAATAATTGTATGTGGTATCCTACACAAGTATAGTCGTATGATATCAGTAAAATTCTTGCCAAAGAATAGAGGCTGTGTGACGTGCAAAGCGCATATATATTCACTTTTTTTTAACCTTCTGAGGCTACATACTTTATTAAGAAATATTGGAGATGAAGATCTTGAACAAGACAATATGCAATTAAGGTGGGAATACACTTTGGGCTATGGCTGTACATTTGCAAGCAAGACGTCTTAGAGCCTGTAAACTAACATCTAATTCTCATTTCAGGAATCAGATCTCATAAGCATTATAATGGCAAGGATTATAATGAATATGATATCCAGAAGATAGATAAACCAATGAAAAAGATAGAACATTGCAATATATTGCAAATAAAAAAAATCGCATCACTTAATTTTTCTAGTATGTCCATTTGACCAGTAGTGAGAAGATCCAGGGATATTCATATTTTGTAACGATCACGGCAGATCCTTAGTATATAAGAAAACAAGATAGATGTGTTATTTGCAAGATTGATATTTCAGTAATCTCGAACTTACTATATTTGTGGAACAAGATAGGAGGATATTAACTTATTCTTAAAGATCTTTGATCATAGGGATGAAAGTAATATAAGTAGGAGTGAACATGAGAAAATTATTTCACACTTCGCACTTCACTCTTTACAATTCACCATTATGGCTAGTGAACCTTTGAGCACCACTATAGCCAATGAACCTTTGACTAGCACTTTGGAAATTCAAACAGATACTTCTGAGCCTTCCTAATTCGAAGTACTTGCATTGAATTATCTTCAAAATCAAGAGATTTCAACTATTCCCAACAGAATTCTGAAACTCTATCCTTGCAGTCTTTGCCAAAAAGCAATCTTAACATATCGATTTCAATCGTTTGTTGTGTTAGATTGTGAATACATTTTCCACTGCCAATGTTTTGAGAAGTATATTTTGCAAGCAGAAACAAATCCTTTTACTCTTACATGTCTTTTATGTGAGATAATCATTATATTGACTAGAGAAGAAGTAGTACTCGCTTCTAGAAAATATCATCTTCAGAAAAAACAAACTGACACTGAACAGGATGATGAGAAGTTCATGGCTTCACTAGAATTGGTAGAAGGTAACTCTCGTGCTGGTCAGGGGAGTTAGTTGAAGCATGTCACTATGAAGGATCAGGCAACAAGCCCAATCGTGATTGAGGATGATGCTTCTGAAAATAATGATGATGAAAGGATACCAGATGCATCAAACCGCTCTGTCAATGTACAAGATAATTTGGAGAATACACCTAATGAAAATAGTGGAAATGATTCTCAGGATTCAGCTACGAATGATGGGAATAATACTATTCAAATTTGGCTATTGAGACGTTTGCCAAGGCGTTCATCAAGACAATCAGTTACCTTTGGAAACAACACCTGTGAGCACAATATCTTGCAGGGCTTATTGCAAGAATTATCTACGCCTGTCAGAAGAGAATCTATCGAGAATAATGAAGTTGCTAAAGATGATTCGGAAGCTTCAATACCAAGGCTTTAGCCCGCCTGTTTCAAAAAGCTTGTAGAGAAAAGACACGCGCTATGAAAGCAATCTAATAAGAAATTTCGTGTTGGTATTATTATAGGAAGGCGTATAAAGAGAAGGTTGAGGGGATTAAGTATGCTCAGAGAGGAGTTAGTGATCAATCAGCAAGAAATCAAGTGTATGATGATACAATGGAGCATCTTCCTGACAGATTTACTAAAAATACTTTACGTAAAAAAACTCAAAGGGCCATAAAGATTTTTAAGCTGTTTCAGAAAATTGGAGTAGATAAGATTAAACGAGTTATTTCTTATAGTGCAAATACTATTTCGAAGCTTACCGCTTCATAGATCTGATCTATCGAACAATATTTTGATTACGTGACTTGAATACTGCATAATGTATCTGAAAGATTTCTGTATTTACTATCTCACATTATTAATTAATAAAGTATTTTTTGCCCATATCGGGCCTCTTTTTTATTTATGTATATCTGTAAATGCTGTATCAGCCTTATCAAATAAATAAAATGATACATGCATTCATGAGGGATCCGCAAACTAATCTGTATGAATATAAAATCACTTCTTTTTTCTTTACTATTTGCTTAAAAAAAAGACTTTCCCAAATTCTGAATCTGATTGGCTGATAATCTCGTGATTTATGGAAACTCACCAGCTCCTAGAACCCTTCTAGAACTATTGAGAAACTGGCAGGGATCTAGAGTGATATATATGATATGATAACGTCATACCACAAACTGATTTAGCCAGGAGCCATGCATGTAAATATAAAATTAACTTATAACCCTATATAAATCCTATGTTTGTAATCGAATAAAAATGAATCTGATATTTTATTATAATAAAATTGTTATAAACTGTTATAAATCACTAACCAGTAAATCTGTATAAATTTGAATGGTGATATTATCTAGTATAAGTTGTTAAAGAATTACTAGAATTCGCTAAAAACACTATAAATTAATAAAATCAATATAATTTGCTAAATATGACGGTTGTTATCTTGGCAAGTGCTATTAACATTAATATGATTATTGATAAAAACAATGGCGGTTATCTAAGCCTGTCAGTAATTGTCCTAGATATGATATGGAATATTATAGAACATATCTCGAAAATTACTATGGTAGCATGGATTTCAAAAAATTTCTTGCTAATGAAAAAATCTATGACAGATTATCGATAATGAGAAAGGGAGAGTCTTCAGTGCAGTGGGAATTACGAGTTAAAAATACTCTCCAATATTTATTATCACGAAATGAAAATAGCATATACCATAGTTTTTGCTTATTTGCAGGAGTTGGTAAAGGCAAATTTAACGAATCATATCGTTCTTATTATCGTCTTAAAATTCATAAAAACAATATGGCAATCTGCTTTCGTTGCTAGAAACCATTTCAAGTTAATGAAATAAAGCTAACCAAATCATACCACCATGGATGATATAGATTCATTAAATTGATTGAAGCTAAGAACATAATGCAGGGATATTGGGATCAAGAATGTTCTGATCTTTTAAGTGATCTTGGATGTGCAAAGGTTAAGTAACAAGCTTTTGAGCCACACTCGTCGACTTCAAACATGCTATTTATCTCATTTCTGTATGCGAAATAAAATAACTTATTAACATCTACAAAACATCTTAATCGGCCAAAAGGTACCACAATAAGATTGAAAGATGAAGTAAAAATCACGATTGTTTAACTATTTTAACTGACCGATTCTGAGCAATGTAGATTATTACTTTTGACTAAATAATATCGTAACTATATTCCATTTTATTTTATGCTATATAATTTGCATATATAATCATCTAGTGTAATTGTAAAATGTACCACCTGTGAGATAAAAAAACCTGATTTACCTATTCTGGATTAGATCCTCAACAATATACTGTATAACTATTTTAATAAAGTATTTTTCAAGAAAGATCCCAAATATTATATTATTCAGCCATATGAAGCATCTCAAGGTCAATACATGAAGATATGTGTGACATGAATTAGCATATTTTCGATCCTCATTAAAATATATATGATGTAATATTGAGATCTTCAATGCACATTCTGCATGCCCTTATTCTCAAAAAAAAATTAGCGTAAAGTGCTTTGCATATTTCTCCTATCTTTTTCCCAAACATGAAAAGAATAAGAAGTAATGGTATTTAAAAAGGCAGTATGGAAAATTTATGTTCAGGTCGCTTATTCTATATTAACAACACAAAACTATGTCTTATGAACTATACTCGAAAATTTACAATTTTTTAATAACTGCTAAGCAAGAACACATTACTGCCACCTTAGTTATCTATCAAGAAATAGATGAAGATCCATGGATTCTGAAAGAAGAGTTAAGAGGAGTGGTTTATCAAGCAATTTCGTTAGCAATAAATCTTTATACCTAAGGTTCAGAATATCAACAAAAATTTCTTGGAATATCTCTTCAGGTAAGTCCTTATAAAACAAACCTAAAAAAATATTCATTAGATAGAATGATGATTTGTTGTAGCTTTAGTACTTCCTAAATAGTAAGCATAACAGTTTAGACATTCTAATAGCCTGCAATTAAGGAATAACTATTTTCCTCAGACGCATGGAGGGTGAATATACTGTAGCATTATGCTTTATCTATATGTGATTATTATTGTATTATGCAAAAGTTATTATTAACGTGAGGACCCCGTGAAGACAATAATTTTTCTTACGATAGCTGACAGCGCACGCGTTAATTTTGGAAGGTGATTTTGTTTATAGAAATAATAACTCAATCTATTATTGTCATAGTTTGATGTATCCTTTGAAGGCATCTGTAACTTACAGGATATCAGAGTTATGAAGTGAATAAAGAGAAACCTCTTACATCAGAACAAATTGATGCAAACTTGAATAATATGAGATCGAAACTTTTGGTAAGCATATGCAGATAATGTTCTCAGGACTAAATTCTTTATTAACTGGTTATTCTGTTATAGAGGAAATAATTCTCACTTTCTAATGAATTAATACTTGGATTGAGATCGATTACTACTTCTAACCTTTCATGAAAAGACCTACTTGCTAGTAGAGTTATTAGTAACGATTCAGGTTTAATTTGAAATCTTTCACAGAAAATACAAAATACTTTCTTAGTAAGTACTTTATAATTTTTGAGAATTATAACAATCAAGTTTCTAATTCAGCTCTCTTTACTAGAAGCTATCATATCAAATGATACCTTCAAATTTAGCAATAATTCAAGAAACATGTAGAAGATTTATAGCAAACTTCAATGAACATTGAATGGAAAGTTTACCTAATAAATTAAAGCATGATAGTTCTTGGAAAGAGTCAGTAGAGATACTCGCTAGAGTTGCGACTAATATTTTTGATACATTGTAAGTAATAACAAGGAAAATTATTACTGTATATATTACTGATTTATTATTAATAGAAGCGATATCTGAAACAATCCAGTGTTTAGATCAGATTTTGAAGATTCGCTTAATAAAGGCACTTATGTGACAAATGTGATAATACTAGCAATCTGATCCACTTTGAAAATCTTTCTTTTAGAAAGATTGTATTCATTAGTACATCAGAATGGCAAAGTCTCGCCAGTGCTGATAGAAAGGGCGATGGTCAAATGGAAAGATGACCAGATATAATATTTGAGTTTAAATACAATGGGAAAGTTTATGAACTTATATTTGTCGAATGCTCACGGTTATCTTGTACTAAACGAAAAGAATTGGATAATATGGTAAAATTATGGTGAGAGACTAATGATGGATTATATTAGACTCGAAAAGAATGTAAACCAGAGAAGAAGCAATTTGAGATCGTTGAAATCCAGGTTGCTAGTAAAATAATTTTCTTATATTTTTCACAATCTATATTTCATGAGATTTTTTTTAATAATGTAGAAACTTTGTAGGGTGAAAAATACATTTAAATGTTATCATAAGAGGTGAGAATGAGATACTTCGTTATTATTATTTACACTCAACCGAGATACCTGTACATTCTATAGGAGAATATAACTTAGCAAATTTCGTAAAGACTTTACTTATTTTACGAGTTTATTATTCACACTAACTATAAATATTCTTTTGATCAGAGAAATATTTTCTAATGCAATTCTGATTTTTAGAATATTATCATTGTCAATATGTCTTTACTATATCATACACCTTCATCAATATCACACAGACAAATGGAAAATAGCTTAACAATTTTATCCCCATAAAAGAAATTGTGTATTTTTTAACTAGGCTAAGACCTGATTTTGTTTATTATGTATTTTAGCAATTTAGTATAGAAATTTTATATATTCGGATTACGTTTGATATACATTTATTTTTTATCTCTATATCAATAAAGTTTCTTTAGGACTGCGCGGTCTCGGAAATTGCAGTCACATGATTTTTTGAATATTAACATACTAATACTACATTATGCAAGCATGCAATCTGAAATAGATAGTTCTGGTGAGACTGATTCGTTGAAATAATGCATTAGCAAGCTTAAGGCTGAGAATAATAAAATTAAGGCTAGAAGCTGCGACAATTAATAAAAAAAACTTGTTATCTGTATCACGAAAACGTGATCCTGTATTAATGCTGGCCTGTAAAAGTGATCAACGTAATTAGTTAATATTTCTAGCTGATCTGCTGTAATGTAATTCATATGAATATTTCTAGTAGATTTCTCAGGTGATTCATGTTTTATAACCTCATTCATATCCATAAGGTAAAGTTTCATAGGAGGTAGTCCTGTCTTTTGGTTCTTCTCTGTATCAGTTCAGAAGTCCATAATTTTGATTTTTATTTAAGGATATTTTATAGTTTAGAATATTTTTCTTCATTTGAATATAGACGAGAGAATATGCATTATAAAATATATATGATTAGTAATACTATTACGAAAATGATTACATATTAAAAAAAGGAGGAATTAGGTAATTTCAGGATTGTTTTAGGACTAGTGATGCTGTTATCTTTCTCTAGTTCACTAA